CATAGAAACTTCCACAGCATTATCAGCATATTTATTGCAGAAATCTTGCAGGACAGAAAGGAGTGGGGTGAAGTATTCAAATTATTGAAAGAAAAGAAGGAGGAGGAAGAGGAGGAGGAGAGAAGAAAGACGATGGAGAAAACCTGCCCACCAAGAATCATGATGGATGGTGAAAAGTGGAAACTGTTCCTCTAATGACCAGTAAAAGACAAGGACGCCCACTGTTGTCACTTTTATTCCACATAGTTCTAAAAATACTAGCAAGAGCAGACAAGGAAGTGAACCAAAAGGCATAAAGGCAAAACCAGACACACAGACCACTGGAACCAAGCAGAGAGCCCACAGATACCCTGAAGCGTGTGCGTACGGTTAGCTCGTATTCAATAAAGGCTCCAGAGGACCTGTTGGGCAGAGGGGTGTCTTTTCAGTAAGTGCTTTGGGAAAACTGGGTATCCATGTGTATAAGGATGAAATTAAATCCTTATACCATACACAAAAATCTGCTATGAAGGTGACAGATGGAACCATAGCCTGAAAAAGGAAAAATTCTGGGGGCAAGGACCCTCAACATTGGCTGTGGCCATGGCTTTTGGATGTCACACCCAGACTCAGCAACAGAAGCAAAACAAACAAGCAGGGCCTTGTCAAATGAAAAGGATTCTGTGCAGAAAAGGAAACAACAAAAAAGTGAAAAGCAGTCTGCAAACCGGGAAAAAATTTCTGTGAACCCTGTATCTGATATCAGGTTGATATCCACAATATGTAAAGAACTCATAGGACTCAATAGCAAAAAAACAATTGAATTAAAAAAGAGAAAGCATATAAAGTGTGTGTGTGTGTGTGTGTGTGTGTGTGTGTCTTGCACATACATGCACATGGTCTCCACGGGTTTCCACCTACCTGGGTCGGCTCCTCCCTGCATGCTCTGGAGGAAGGCCTGGTGACCTCTGGGGAGCTCCGGATCCCTGGATCACTCCAGACTTTGGTGCCCCGCTCCCCACCCACCCCCCCTCCCGTGAGCTGCTCCCTGGTGAGAAGGAAGCCACGGCACTCCAAGTCAACAGGAACACAGAGTCAACACGGAAAGTAAGGCCGACATCAGCATGGCAGGGACAAACTGGGGTCCCTGCCATGGCCTCTGAGACTAAAAGCAGATCTTGGAGCAGCTGCAGGCAAAAATGCCTCTACAAAAGAAAGCAAAAGCTTCCGGCAAAAGTCATCACTAAAAACTAGTAGACCCCCTGGAAAAAGGTGCCTACCCCGGTGCCTGAGCCTGAAGCCAGGCCGAGCCAGATCTGAGCCTTTTGAAGGAGAAAGACTTTCAGCTGAAGCTATTCTGGTAAGTTCTGCACGTTGGAATGTGTTGTTTCTTTCCCCTCATTTCACTAATGCGTAAAACACTGGTGGAAAAAACAGTAATGACAGAAGAAAAAAGAGGAAGAAGCTCTTGCCATTTCTGTAACTCATTGTCTCTTGTCATGGCAAGATGGGGAAACACCTGTCTGTCTACAGATAAAAAGTGATGGAATAGTATGCAGTGGTGGGAAGGAAATCCTTCCATTCGGCCTGACCTAGAAGACATTAGGGGTCATTGCGATAAGTGAAACTAGCCATTCATGTTTCACTAACATGTTAAATTTAAAAGAAAATGAGATACACAGAAGCAGTGAGTAAAAGGGTGCAATGGAGGTGGGAATGAGAAGAGGTAGGTCAAAGGGGACAGGGGCAGGATGACTGAATGCAGAGCCCAAGAGTTCTCATTAATCACACTGTACACTTACGAATGGCGATTAGTACAGCGTGCTATCCTTATGGTACATTAAAAATGGTACACATTATATGAGGTGATGGTATATTAATTTGCTTGACTATGGTAATCATTTCTCTAGGTATATGCATGTCCAAACATCACCTTCTATACCTTAAATGTATAGAATAAGAAAAAAGGAAAAAATGACATGTTACTGAAGAAGTGAGTTATTTTTTTGCCTGAGTGGAGAGTTCTTTAACTTTTAATAATTCCTGGGGTTGGAAAGGGAGTGGAGAATTATGTATTTTAATATACTACTGATGAGAGTATAAAAATAGGAATCCTCTGTTTAAAGGTCCATTGGCGGGGCTGGGGCTGGGGCTGAGTGGTAGACTGCTTGCCTAGCGTATGTGAGGTACTGGGTTCAATTCTCAGCACCACGTATAAATAAATGAATAAAATAATAAATAAAGGTCCATCAACATCTAAAAATATTTAAAAAATATAAAGGTCCATTTGCATATGTGTTAAGATTTTATTACTCATATTCTATAACAATATCAATCCTCAGTATCTGGAACATTTTCTTACAGATTATTGAAGAAAATGTCTATTGAATTGCTTTTAACCTTAAAAAATGAGAGAGCAGCCCTGTGCCAACAGGGGTGATGAGGTAGTTGCACAAATCCATTCAATGGAATTTGTGTAGATGTTAAAAATGGTAGAGCTGCATACAGTGGGTTGGTGCCAGCCCACTCTGTGGCATTCCATCCTGTTCCCTTCTGTATCAGCCACGGCTTGGGAGGTTTGGGGAGACAGTTAGAAGGCAGTGGATTGAAAATTGCTTGGTTGGGAAGAAGAGCAGGCCAGGGGGCTCTCACTATCTGGTGCCCGCTTTCCTCTCCTGTCCATCAAAGAGACTCGAGTCCAACAAGGACACAGTGAGACCTTCTTTCCAAAGTTCAGGGAGAGGAAATTCTCTATTCTGCACTGCTTAGTCCCATCTCCGTTGGGCCTAAACCTCATTGGTTAGGCCTTCTACTCCACTCTGCCCTTCTTCCCTTTGCTCCAGGCATGGAGGATACTCCTTATTGTTTCTTAAATATACCAAACACACACATGCCTTGGGACATCACCATGTGCTGCTGTCCCCTTGGAATGCCCATGGCTCACCAGACAGTGACAGGTCTCTCTGTAACCCCCTCCAGGTCCTTACCCAATAGCTACCTTCTCAGTGAGATTTTGGGCCACTGAAATATCAACCCTCTGTCTGACAATTTGCATTCCCTCCCCTGATTTTCTTTTCCCATATCACTTTCTAACATAACATGTATTTTATTTTCATACTTTGTTTTTGGTCTGACTTGCCAATAGAATGTGGGCTCCATGAAGGCAAAGACTTTACGTATTATTGAATTACTTGTACATAGAATAATACCTGGGGTAGGGAAGATGCTTGTTAGTGTTTGTCGAATCAATGAATGAGTGCGTGAAGGAGAGCAGAGATGTGACTGGATTCAAGGATAATGGTGACATGCTTGCTTTCTTTTTTCTCCATTTCTCTCAGTCATGTGAACTTTATTCTTCCTTTGATCACTTCTCCTCCCAGAGACCCTTATTCTGCTCTCATGCCTCATCACTATTTAACTCTCACTCCATAAGCAAACAAAAAGCTTCCTTCAGTAATTTTTTGTTCTTGTCACCTAAGGGACACTGACACCCTAGAACTAAATATCCCAGGCCATGTGGATAATGGAACTCAGTCTAGAAGCCTGGTGTCCTGTATCTTGGTGCTATGGCTGAGGGTAGATGGGGCGACAGGTGGGGCATCCTTCGTTCATCTGTTCTCCAGAACTACCTCCTGTTGGCTCAGGTGTCGCCTCTTCCAGGACTGCCTTCCACTGCCCTGAACTTTCTCCATCCTCATCTTCTGGAATGGCACCATTTCCGGTCTCTCCTCTTCTACTCCATCTCCCTCCATGTTTCCCCATTCTCTCTACCCCTCTTAAAAGTTAGCATCCCTCACCATAGTCTCTCTTCTCCCCTAGAGATCCATCTCTCATGATGGATTGTTACCATCCACAAGTGAATGGCCTCTACCTCTCTGTCTCACTCTCTTCTCTCCTGGGATTCATATACTTCTGTTCAGCTCTCACTGAACTTGTGTGAAGTCCTTCCATTTCAATGCGTTTGAAGCCAACCTGACTCTATGCTCCTCCTTGCTGTCTGGAGTAGCCTTGCTCACAGTCTTTGACATCCCATTTGCCATTTCTTCTTTGTCACCAGACCTGTAAACACCTCCTCTCTAGAATGCCCCCTGATGGTGTTTTCCTATAATCTACTATTTCTGCTTCGGCACATTGGGTCTCCCTGAACTCCAGATAAGACCATCTCTTACCTGGTATTTCTGCCTCTAATCTTATGCATTTCTAGCCCATTCCAAAATATGTTGTTAGAATGAATATTCAAAACCGAAAATTCAGCCATGTTGCTCTCCTCCAGCACCTGACAGCCTTCTCTTATGCAGGGACCTTCAGTGTCCTATCAGCTTGCCTTGAAGGTGTCACAGCATCTCCTACACAAGCCTCAGCTGCTGCTATGAATCAACCTCTCTCTTTGCAACTCTGTTGGGCTTCTCCCCATTTACTCCACACTCCCACATCTCAGAGCTTTCTATAAACTGTACCCTCTGCTTGGAGATCTCTGCCTTCCTCTGCCAAATTAATGAATTCCCAATCATATGCAAGTCCTTCTCAAATCCCAGGAACCCTTTCTTGATTCTCTTATATTTGTCTGCTGCATGTATTTCTTGGCCTCCATCCACATGATAACATATGCAGCATTTTATTGTTTTTATGTATTTAGGAATTTGTTTCCCCACATCTTCTTCAGGTTCCTAATTTACAACATTTCTCAGTGCCTAAAGCAAAGTAAGTCCTCAGCAAATTCTTATTAAATAAAAGAACACATTGCTTGAAGCTTTTCCATGAAACTTTATTACCTCCACACCCACCAGCACACAAATTGTGGTTTTGAACATGTTGCTCATCTCAGGCTGTCACCTTCTGTAAGGTTGTCTTTTGGCATCTATTTTGCTACAAGAAAATGTTTAGCTGGTTTGTTGTTCATGGCAATGCCTCGGATCCTGTCTGCTGAGACACTTCTCCAAGAAAAACCTGCATCTGTATTGACCTCATGGCCCAGAGGGCAGACAGGTGGACAGAGCATCCCTATTTCTGCTTTGGTGACATCAGTTCCTGGGTAAACAGCAGGCATCTTTCTTTTTAGAGCAGTAGCCGACTTGTGTTTCCAGATAATTACAATATTCTTGACAGAGACCTTCAGCTTTCTTGCAGTTGACAACTTTCAGAGCTGGTTCAGGTTCTGCATAAGAAACATCAAAGTTAGCCTCTTAAGGTTGTCTCAGGAATTGAACAGTGGCCATGTTAGCTCTTAAGGACAGAGTGGGAGATGGCAGTGGGTATAAAACGTCTTCCTGTCATCACACTTTCACGTTCTGAACTGTAGACACTCCAGACCTGTTGCTCCAGACCTTCTGGGTCTCCTCAGCTCTCTCGTTAGTCAAGTAGGAGGAACGGTCCTGTTACGTGAAGCCCTGCTAGCTAAATGCCTGGAATTGCACTTGTGTGTATTTGTGCTAGTCTCCTTTCCCTTCCCTTGGGAGGAGAGTCAGTCCAGTAAGTCCTTTGAAATTGGAGGCCACTTCCAGAGAGACTGAGGTGAGGATAAAGCAGAAATTAAAGCTGGTGGGACCTTAATGCTGAATTTACCAGAACTCTGACAGCACCCTCATCTAGTTTTTCCTGTTTCAGGGTCAGCAATGAATCTGGGAATAAGAGTAGCCTAGAAACTAGTGTTTCCTCCAGACTTGTGGATATGCAAGTGGTCCTGGGCAGGGAGGCCCCTGGAGACTGACCAGGGCTGTCCTGAGAGTCCAAAAGGGTGGCCTGGGCTGTGGTTCCATGCCACTTCCTGTTTCCTCCTCACTCAAGGAGATGGCATATAGTGTGTGCTGTGTCCCCATCCCCAGGAATCAGTCCCTGAACTCACTTCACCCCTGGCACTTAGAGGTGTCCAGTAAATTCCTGTGCAGTGAATGACCTCTGAAGTCTCCTGGAAGGAGGAGAGTGACCAATCAATAGTGTCTCCTCTGGCTGCTGTATTGCATGAACTCAGACACTACAGAAGAGCCTCAGAGAATTCACCTCCTGGTCCCACAGTATGTCCATATTTCATGAGGCCCTCAGTGACCGCCCCAGAAGCGGGTGTAAGACCTCCACAGCCCACAGCGCAGGGTAGTGCCTGCCTATAATCCCTGCAACTTCAGAGGCCAAGGCAGGAGAGTTGCAAGTTTGAAGCCAGGCATGGCACTTAGCCAGACTCTGTCTCTAAAAAATAAAAAAGGAGGGTTGTGGATGCAGCTCAGTGGCAGAGTGCTCTTGGATTCAATCCCCAGTGCCTCAAATATGTGAATCCCCCCCCCCCCCCCCCACACACACACACACCCCGCATGTCCTTCCTGATAGGTAGGACGACAGAACCACACACACAACAACTACTGTCCACCCAAACCCATCCACACAGTCACCTTCCCATCTCATTCATTCAGCATTTCCTAAGTGGTGAACTTGTCACACACGTTGGCACCTGACTCACCAAGAAAAGGGGGAGTTCGCGGTTGGAAGTGACGCCTTACTTGGTGATGCACCATGGGAGACCCGTTTGCTCCCTGCCCAGGAGCTCCTTCCTGGGGGCCGCTGGGGACCTCAGTGCCTGAGGAGTTCACAGAGAGGGCTCTGTGCGAGCCTGTGAAAATGCAGATGCAGAGGGGTTCAGTGCTCTCCATTCAGCAACCCACAAGGACAGGGCCCCTCTAAGGGGCAGGGACAATGGGCAATGGGATGGGGTAAGGTGGAAGAGTGCCTGGTGCTACCTGAGCGTGTGCACACTTGTGTACATGTGCATGAGTGTGTGTTGAGGGGAAGAAGAGAAGAATGGTGGTTAAAAGCTATTTGTGCAGAGACGTCTCCAATGCAGTTGTCAGGATTCCTTAAGACTTAATGTCTTCCTCCATAAGGGGCGGAGGAATGTTCCAGAAATAAGAAAACAAAGTGAAAGGAAGGACCTTCTTGCTTGGGAAATCAGTGCCATCAGCACATTCAAAGTGTCTGAGAACCCATCTCAGAGACTTCTGCCCGAAAGTTCCATCAGGAAAATGTGCTCCTGGGACTTAGGGTCTCACTGGCCAGCCTGGACTTCCAGACCTCAGCAAAGACTTTTGCGGGAGACCCTGGCTCCCAGGACATCTTTCTTTTTTACCTGGGAACAGCAGGGCCACAAGGAGAAGGCTGATGAAGGGAGGGTGGAATCGCTGAGCCATGTCTGCCATGGGGACTGCGAGCTGAGGGCCCCAGAGTGGGCAGGCGGGTGGGTACCTTTATAGAGCTGGCCGGGTGAGTGGGCTGGGAGCAGGGAGAGCTGTGTTCCCGAGTCCTCAGTCACAAAGGGCACAGAGGACACATCATATTCCCACTGTTCGCAGAACAAACACTGAGTCCTATGTTCTTCCCTCACCTTGGGTGGGTTTGGTGAATTAGAACAGAAGGACAGAGGTGGGAGGAGATGAAAGGCATGGAAAGGCGGAATAAACATGCTGTTATTCTAACACCGTCTCCCACTAGCTCTGCAGCCCCTGAAGTTCTTTAAAACAATGATACAACAAGGCCGCCATGTTGCTTCTGTGCGTCTGTGGCACCTGCTTACCTTAGTGTGGAGAATCCTGGGTGAGGACATGAACCATGTCAGGTGTGACCTGGCTGTGGGAGCTGTCACTTAGACTTGGGTTCTAGAGCTGTTCCAAAATAGTAGAAATTCTGCTCCCTGGTCTTCCTCCTCCCCGGGCTCTCTGTTTTCTTGTCCTCTCCCCTTCCCTTGTCCTCTCCTCCCTCCTTTTGTTTTAGTTTAACTGAGTCTTCCTCATGTTCCTTCCCCTTTTATTCCTGCCTTTCTTTGGGCATCTCCTGGTGATGCTTTTGGGTCCAATTCGATTCTACTAAGAAACGGTTTTACAATTGAGCCTGAGTTTCTCTTGCCACCATGATGGAATGGATTCCAAGGAAAGAAAGAGATGCTCAGGGCTGAAGGGAGAGGGACCAAGTTCATTTGGAAAAGAGTAGGATCTCACAGAAGTAGAGAGTGGAAGAAGCGGATGGAGAATAGGAGGGGAGGGAGCCAGGGAACAGAGAGGTTGCATAATGGTTGCCAACACACAGCTGGGGCAGAGAAACCAGTCCT